AATTTGGAAAAGTAGCAGGATACAAAATTAACATCAAGAAATCGATGGCATTCTTATACACCAATGATAAAATCACAGAAAGAGAAACTAAGAAAACAATCCCACATGCCATTGCAGCCAAAAAAATAAGACACCTAAGAATAAACTTAACCAAAGAAATAAAGGACCTATTCGCAGAAAACTACAGGTCATTGAAAAAAGAAATAGAGGAAGATATAAAAACGTGGAAGCACATATCCTGTTCATGGATTGGAAGAATTAACATCATTAAAATGTCCATACTACCCAAAGCAATCTATAGATTCAATGCAATCCCATTCAAAATACCTACGACATACTTCACAGAATTAGAACAAGTACTTCAAAAGTTCATATGGAACCAAAAAAGACCTCGAATAGCCACAACAATCTTGAAAAAGAAGAACAAAGTTGTTGGGATCACATTACCAGATTTCAGGTTATACTACAAAGCCACTGTAATCAAAACACCCTGTTACTGGCACAAGAACAGGCATACAGTGGAACAGAACAGAAAACCCAGAAATAGACCCAAGTTAATATGCTCAATTAAAATTTGACAAAGTTGGCAAGAGCATACAGTGGAGTAAGGACAGCCTATTTAATAAATGGTGCTGGGAAAATTGGACAGCTACATGCAAAAAATTGAAATTAGATCATCAACTTACAGCCTACACAAGAATAAACTCAAAATGGATAAAAGACTTAAATGTGACTCATGAATCCATAAAAATCCTAGAAGAAACTGTAGGCAACAAAATTTCAGGTATCATACGATGCAGAATTTTCACTCATACTTCAACTAAGGCAATAGAAACAAAGGAGAAAATGAACACATGGGACTACATCAAACTCAAAAGCTTCTGCACAGTGAAAGACACAATCCTCAAAACAGAAAGGCTACCCACTGTATGGGAGAGCATAATTGCCAATGATATATCAGATGAGGGGTTAATTTCCAATATATATAGAGTGCTCATACAACTCAACAAATGGGAGACAAAGAACCCAATTAAAAATGGGCAGAGGAACTAAATAGACACCTCTCCAAACAGGACATACAAATGGCTAAGAGCCATATGAAGAAATGTGCATCATCACTAATCATCAGAGAGATGCAAATGAAAACAACAATGAGGTATCTATCTCCTCACACCTGTCAGAATAGCTGCCATCAACAAATCATCAAACAACAAGTGTTGGTGAGGGTGTGGAGAAAAGGGAACTCTAGTACACTGCTGGTGGGAATGCAGACTGGTGCAGCCCCTATGGAAAACAATATGTTGTTTCTTCAAAAAAATTAAAATTGAACTGCCATTTGACCCAGTGGTCTCACTTCCAGGAATATACCCTAAGAAGCCTGAAACACCAATCAGAATGAATATATGTACCCTTATGTTCATAGTAGCACTATTTACAATCACTGAGATCTGGAAATGGCCCAAGTGTCCATCAATAAATGAATGGATAAGATAGCTGTGGTATATATATACAATGGAATACTATGCAGTTGTAAGAAAGAAAGATTTCTTATCCTTTGAGATGATAAGGAGCGACCTGGAGAGTATTATCCCAAATGAAATAAGCCAATCAGAGAGAGACAAATACCACATGATCTCACTTATTTGTGCAATATAATGAACAAGGTGGGCTGATGAATAAAATAGACCCAGAGACATATAAAGAAGTATGATTCAGACCTCATAGGTGGGGTGCGGGGGTAATGGATGAGATGAACCAAATAATTTATATGCATGTATGCATAACCAATGGACATAGACTACAATGCTTGGGGAGGGCAGGATGGGAGGAGGGTGTCTAGGAGGGAAAAAGGAGAAACATTTGTAACAAAAATAAATAAAAATTGGAAAAATCGATTAATTAATAAAAAGTGCCTACTACTCTCGGTTCTCTTGTTTTCTAACAAGGCCATTGTCCCAACAAGGAATTTCTGTTACATTGTTGACGAGGAGTTCTCTACCCCCTCCTAATGTCCCTGTAATTTTTAAAGTGTTATAGAAAAGGAAAAAGTCCCTCTCAGAGCACTTTCCCCTGGTGAATCGATCCATGTATGCTTGGTCCAAGCACACCTCTCTATGGAATAATGATACCCCAAGGGATATTGTACCCTCTACCTTTTCTTAGTTTGTAAGATTTCTTCTATAAAATGTCCTTTTTGCCTGTAACTTGGGTTATTATTAATATTTTTCTTGCATAACAGTTAACTGAGAAAAAATATGAACTCTCCTCTAGAGTTTTTAATGATAAGGTAAATTTCCAATTATAGAAGGTTTATTCTGGTAAAAATTGGAAAAAGACAAAGTATTTTAATAGTTTATTTCATAATTATATAATTCCTTTTCATGATAGATAATACCTTCCTTGACCACCCAATCTAAATTATCCTTTCCAGTAACTTCCTATCAGAAAGGTAGTCTTGTTGTCTTTATTTACTACTTTCTAAAAGTATCTTGTTCATTGCCAATCTTTCCCACTCTAATATAAACACCACAAGAGAAGACATCTCTTTTGTGTTATTTATCAGTAAAACCCAACTCCCAAAGAGTACCTGGCATAGGAAGGTGACAAAAATATCTGTTTAACAAGTGTTTTTAGTGAAAAAATTAGTGAGTAAATTTAATAGCTAATTATCTTATCTATGGAGAAAAAAAAAATGGACACACTTCCTCTTTTGTAGATATTTGCTTTATAACAACCAATTAGTATTGGGGGAAAGCCCTGAAAATGGAGATATAGAAAGAAGTAGGTTAGATGTGTAACTTTCAAAAATAACCAGGAAATATTTTACATTTTCATTTCTAAAAGTGTGAATTTCAATGCTATAAATCACTTAAGAAAAGCTAACAATGCATATGATGTGAAACACTAAATTATTATTATCAATTGTGTTTGAGTAAATATTTGTGATTAACTCTTTCATTAAGCCAAAATAAATTGCTAAATGTTAGAAAGTGGGGGGGAAAAAGTTCTTTATTGTAAACAATGCCATGTGCCTGCTCAGGTGGGATCTCCTTACTTTGTTCCCATCCACTCTCTGAAGATTTGGGAGACTTTTCCAAAGTATTTCAGAAATTCTATTAGAATCTAAGAAGTAACCCAAAATAAAATTTGATGAATAATATTGTGCCATGTTCTTAATAGTTTGAATATTTATTATATATAGTAATATTTATGCTAAAGCTGTTAAGGGCAATTATATACCACCTATCAACTCAAGATGAAACAACCTATTTCATGTCATAGCCCCCATTATTCTCTTCCATCTTCACTTCATGTTCTTCAGGGTAATAAACAAATTATTGGCTTTCGTAGCATTTCAAAGCCTATACTTCCCTATGTTTCATAGAACTATAGTAGTATGCCATGCTCTACCATAGTCTTAACATGAATATAAGACTATCTGGCTTTATTTGTTTCTATTTTGACATAGTTCTTAAGTTGGTAACAGTCCCATTAATGTTGAAAATAGCTATTAATACTTCTTATATCTTATCAAATATTCATAATACTGACAATACATATTTATATGGTAAAGAAATAAATGACAAGAAATATACCTATAAGTTTGCAAAGCAAGAAATAAGCCAATATCTAATTTTCTCTTGTGATATTAAATACATATACTTTAAAATATACAAATAATCACAATAGACATTAAAAATGAATCTTTTAAAAATTACTATTCATTAATCATTGCATTTATTACCTAATTCTTATTAATTTATCAGGATCTGAAATTTAGAAATATTAAAAATCATGGGCACAGACAACAGTGTGGTGATTGCTGGGGCAGGTAGAGGAAGGTATAGGGAGTATAAATGGTAATGAACAAAGACTTGATTTAGGGTGGTGAACACACAGTACAGTGTATAGATGATATGTTGTACACCCAAAACCTGTAAATTTTGTTAAGCAGGGTCACACCAATTAATTCAATAAAACAAAATAAAATAAGAGAAGCCCTATAGAGAAATGAAAAAAAAAAAATAGTAATGAAGCTGCCCTGTCTGGTTGGGCTCAGTGGTTAGGGCATTGGCCCACAGACCGAAGGGTCTCGGGTTCCATTCCCAGTCAAAGGCACAGCAGGTACCTGGGTTGCAGATTTGATCCCCAGCCCCACTTGGGGTCATGCAGGAGGCAATCAAATTGATGTCTCTCTCACATCAATGTTTCTCTCTCTCTCTCTCTCTCTAAAAAATCAATGGAAAAATATCCCCAGGTGAGGATTAACAACAACAAAAAAAGTCATGAAGCAGATAAATGCATACTTCTAGGTAATTCCTTCCTCTGTTTTTGTGTGGCAATCAAAGCCAAAATTTTACATATTAAACTGTGTATAGTTCAGGAATAAGTACCTCATGCACATTGAATTTGAATTCTCAATAATTCAAGTCAGTGACTAAAAGAAAACACTGACACACTTTATTCTCATTGGATAGCAACCTAACTCTTACTGACAGAAATTGCTGATGCACTAATATATCTTACTCAGGCTTTCTGTTTCTTGACTGGTTTGGCAATAGGTCTGTGAATCAATCATATGTTAAACAGACTCACTAATGAAAACTACAGGATTTAACTGGATGAATCAATTCAATTATGTTCATGCATATAAATATATAAAGTGATTCAGCAATATACTTTTATGTATTGAGGTCATGCCTCTGAATGATAATTACTTTAAAATAAGAGTCAGATTCTCTATATCTAAAAATTTAATTGCTGTTTTCAGAAAATGTGGGTTTCTACACCAGATCTGGTCCTTCATTTAAATTTTTCATTTAAAGCTTTTGATTTTGACAGCATCTAATACCGTCAATCAAAGATAAAAGTGCAATATTGTAAGTAAATATATGAATAAAACAACTTTATGATACTCAATTTAGAATAGTTATTTTTACCAATTAGTTATGAAAACTTGTGAGGATTAGATAAAGAATAAACTTTTTAAATGTTTTTACCTGTTTTCAATTGTGCTTCCATCATGGACAATTGAGACCTGTGATAAAAATAATATCAAATTCAAATACACTACACATGCACATAATATGTTATATTAAATCTTTTAAAATATCATTCAAAACAGTTTTTTAAAATATGTCAATTTGTAAGATTAAGGTATCAAAAAGCACCCCGTCAGTGAGCCCCCTTACTTCCCAATGCTCCAATATACACACAGATACACACACACAAGCAAGCAAGTGCGCTTGCTCCCTCAGCAGCCTTCCACAGGCAGTTTCCACTAAGAGAAAGAAGTGTATGTTATGTTTACCATTCAGAACTTCTATTCTTTCCATCCCTTTGCTGATGCAAGTAAGGGTGATGATCTGCTTCCTGCTGGCACAGAGGACTGTATAAGAATTCAACAGAGAAATTGCAGGAAGACCCTTACTACTATCCAAGGGATTGCTGGTGATATAATAAAAACAAACTAGTGAAGATGTTTAAGAAGTACTGTAATTTGCCCTGTAATGGTACCATAATTGAGCATCCAGAATATGGAGAAGTAATTCAGTAATAGGGTGACCAGCATAAGAACATATGCCAGTTCCTTATAGCGACTGGACTGGCTAATGATGACCAGCTGAAGGTTCATGGGTATTAAGTGCTTTGGCTTAGTGAAGCTTATGTAAAGATTTCTTGCCATGAATAGGATTTCTGTCTGTCCCTTGTCACAAGTTTAAAAATCTCACAGCTTGTATAATATAACCATTAAGTCTGCTTTTAACTTGGACTAGTGTAACTCTTTCATGCAATAACTGAAAAGAGCCATGTTATTTAGTCTTAAAGTCCCTCGTTTAAACAGAGTTCAATAGGCATCTGGCAGTGTCCAGCCTGAAACAAAGCAAGAAGGTGATGTTCCAGCCAAGCCCAAAGCCCCAAGATCACAGACAGAGTTCTCTAGCCCAGAAGATATCTGGGCTATATTTGTGAGGATTAGATAAAGAATAAATTTTTTTAATGTTTTTACCTGTTTCAATTGTGCTTCCATCATGAACAATTGAGACCTGTGATAATCCCTTGCCAGAGATCCCTGCCCTCAGAGAATGTCACCACCTGCACAGCCTTCAGTGAATGGGAGGAGAGGATGGGCAAGACAGCAAGAGCATCTGTACCAATAGAGGGGCCTTTGCTAGTCAAAGATTTCCAACCTGACCAGGTGGATAGAGCTTAGAGGTGATAAGGACATCTGGCTTGCCAGCAAGGTATTTTTGACCAGTCATATCCTAACTAATTAATGTCCAAACACTAGAATGTGAAGCCAATCTTCTAACAGAATTAAACTTTTGACAAAGGCAGCAGAATTTTCACTGATACATCATCTAAGGCAACAGAAACAAAGGAAAAAATGAACACATGGGACTACATCAAACTCAAAAGCTTCTGCACAGCAAAAGAAACAATCATCAAAATGGAAAGGCAACCTACAGTATGGGAGAACATCATTGCCAATGATATATCATATAAGGGGTTAATTTCCAATATATATAGAGTGCTCATACAATTCAACAAAAGGAAGACAAAGAACCTAATTAAAAAATGGGCAGAGGAGCTGAACAGACACCTCTCCAAACAGGACATACAAATGGCCAAGAGACATATGAAGAAATGCTCAACATCACTAATCATCAGAGAGATGCAAATTAAAACAACAATAAGGTATCACCTCACACCTGTCAGAATGGCCGCCATCAACAAATCATCAAACAACAAGTTTTGGCGAGGGTGTGGAGAAAAGGGGACTCTAATACACTGCAGGTGGGAATGCAGACTGGTGCAGTCACTATGGAAAACAGTATGGTGTTACCTCAAAGAATTAAAAATTGAGCTTCCATTTGATCCAGTGATCACACTTCTAACAATGTACTCTACAAAGCCTCAAACACCAATCAGAAAGAATATACGTACCCCCATGTTCATAACAGCGCTCTTTGCAATAGCTAAGATCTGGAAACAGCCCAAATATCCATCAGCAGAAAAATGGATTAAAAAAATCTCTGGTACCTGTACACAATGGAGTACTATGCAGCTGTAAGAAAGAAAGATCTCTTTTCCTTTGAGACGACATGGAGGGATATGAAAAGTATTATCCTAAGTGAAATAAGCCAAGCAGAAAAAGACAAATACCACATGATCTCACTTATATACGAAATATAATGAACATAACAGTCTGAGGAATACGGTAGACCGAGAAACATGGAAGTAGGGCAGACTGACATCCCTCAGAAGAGGGGGTTGGGGGTGGGAAGAGATAAACCACAGAACTTATATGCATGTATGCATAACCAATGGACATGGACAAAAAGCCTGCGATGGGGCAGGTGGGGATGAGGAGGAGGGTGTCAATGGGGTATAAAAGGAAAAACATTTGTAACCAAAAAAATTTTAAAAAATATTATAAAAAATAAAAAATATGAACAAAAAATAAATAAATAAATGCATACATACATACATACATACATACATAAAATTCTAACTGATATGTCAGTCATGCAGCTGGCTGTAGAGCTTACAAGTTACTAGCAACAGCTACCCAATGCCACGTGAAGCAACAAACTGATTTTTGGGGGTTCCCCTTCAGTTTAAATGTTATGTAATATATTTAGAGCCTTATTTAAATAAAATTTTTTATCAGAAACAAAGCAAGATCAAAAATCTAAGAAATTCTCATATGTAGCATTAGAAGAGACATTGTAAAGGAGGAACTACTACCAATATTATACTGCTAAATAAAAGCAAAAGGGATTCCATACTATAGTAAAAGTTATTTTAAACATCTATTAGATAATCATTTAATCTTTTTAATATTCCGTTTGATGAATTTAGACTTCAAATGCCAATAGCATACCAATATGGTAGTAATTTTTAATTTACAAGTTTTTAAAGTATATTGAGACTGCATGCTCAACATATGCTTATTTGCTGTGTGATAAAAATATCAGGAAACCAGTGAACTCAAGAGTGTGATTTTAATTATAATTGTCTAACCACTATGCAGTATACCTGAAACAAATATAAAAATTATAAAAAGAGTATGATTTCCACCCTGGCCAGTATGGCTCAGCAGTTGGGGCGTTGGCCCTCAGACCAATGAGTCACGGGTTTGATTCTGATCAGGGGCACATACCTCGGTTGCAGTTCATTCTCAGCCCTGGTTGGGGTTGTGTGTGAGGCAACCAGTTTATGTGTCTCTTTCACATCAATGTCTGCCTTTGTCTCTCCCTTCTCCCTCTCTCCCTCCCTCCCACTTTATCTAAAGATAAAGAGAAAAATAAGGATTTAAAAAATAAATAAACAAATAAAAATAAAAAGAGTATGATTTCATTAATAACTTACATCTTGGAAAGATAGATATTTTCCTGTAGCATAAATGTTAACTCTAGGTTTTATCCCAGGTATTAATTTTATCTAACTATGTTTATTTTATACAGAGATTTGCTGGCTATATCCTTACCCACCTGTGGCAAAGATTTCTAAATGCTAACCAAATTAATTTTCTTTTCTTCTTTGTCACCTCACTAGTACACATTGCTAAGTACTTCCTGCAGTTAAATGTGGTAAATGAAATATGGGATAAACTAATGTGTACCACTTCCAGCCTGGCAATGAAAAAGACTCCTGTCTGGTCTTTCATGTTCTTTTCTAGCATCTGGATGTCTATACCCAGCATGTCACATGTTAAACTTTAGGATAGGAAAGATTTCACATGCCAGCATACATGAATGACCTTGTAAAACAGGATTCCTAATACAAACAATGACCCTGAACTTACTAGGACCATTTACATCGAGAAATAAGCTTTTATTATATGTGAACTATTATACATTTTGGGCCTATATGCCACAAATCACCACTGATTTCCACATGGCTTATGTAAATAACTAGGACAGAGCTAAATGATGATGGAACCTAACATTCATATAGTGTTTCACAATACACAAAAGCAGTTCATAAACATTATCTTATTGAACTCTTCTAGTACTTTTAGAAAGTATTATCATCCTCCATTGATTAATTATTTTATAGAAAATTATGTTTAGTTCCTGATACATAGATATAATAGGTCTTGCCATTCCCTCTAATAAAAAAAATTACTCCAGTAAACAAGTTTATAATCAGGCACAGAAACATGCTGCCTATAAGAGACTCACTTATAATAAAAAATATATATACAGACTAAAAGAAAAGAGATGGAAAAATGTATTTAATTCAAATGGAAATCCAAAAAAAGTTGGATAAAAATACAACACAAAATCAACTTCAAACAAAACTATAAAAAGAGACAAAAAAATATATATTATATAAAAAATAAAAGGATCTATCAAACAAAAGGATATAAACCCAAAATAAGAGTACCTAAATATATAAAGCAAATATTGATTAACATAAAGAAATAGATCAATAGAAACACGGTAATATAAGGGGACTTTAACAACCCATTGACACCATAAATCTTCCAGAGAGAAAATCAACAAAGAAACAGTGGTCTTAAATGATATATTAGATCAAATAAGTGTTATTGATATTTTTAGAACATTTTACTGGAAGTAATAGAATATACATTCTCTCCAAAATTGCATACATTATTTTCCAAGAAACACCAAATACTAGGCCACAAAACATGTCTCAACAAACAAGAAGATGAAAATTATACCAAGATCTTCTCTGATCACAATGGTACAAACTTGAAAACAATCACAAGAAAAAAACTAAAAAACACAAAATAGTGTGGTGGCTATAAAACCATGTTACTAAAGAATTAATGGGTTAAAAAAAAAACATCAGGGGAAATCAAAAGATACGCTGATAAAATTGAAAATGTAAAAACAACAAACTAAAATATATGGGACATGGCGAAAGCAGCTCTAAGAGGGAAACTCATAGCAATACAAGCCTACCTCAAGAAGAAAAAAATCCCAAATAAACAATCTAACCTTATACCTAAAGAGCTAGGACAAAAAAGCCCAAAGTGAATAGAAGGAAGAAAATAATAATCAT